TAATCCCCCCTTTTTTTTTTTTTTTTTTTTTTTTGAAGATTGGCCTACTTATTGCATCACCTTTGTTAGCCATTTTGAATTTATGTTGTCATAAAAAGCTCAATGACATATAAAGAGGACAGCCATATAGAATTATGAGCAAGGTCATCAGCCATGGTTGTTTGGTGTAACATCACACCCTGCATGTTTATACGAAAATTCTGCAAGCAACACCAAAATCCCTTTCTTTTATATTTCAGAATTCAACCAGACCTCGCAAGGCTCTGGCAGCAACATGTCAGACAAAGCCAACCAGGATCAGGTGCTACTTTTTTTCTCCGAGTTCAGTCAGTCCGGGCAGGTTATGGGGCAGTCAGGGGATGATGCTGGCATTGAACCTGCTTGCAAGAAGATGAGACGCAACCGCTTCAAATGGGGCCCTGCATCCCAACAGATCCTTTACCAGGCTTACGAACGACAGAAGAACCCCAGCAAAGAGGAGAGGGAGGCACTGGTGGAGGAGTGCAACCGGTACAGGTGGACTTGCTATAAATGTCAAAACTACTTCCTCACTTTCATCCCAGTTATGCCAATATGTTTCTCTTGACTATATTTAGAGCTGAATGCCTCCAGAGAGGAGTATCACCATCCAAATCTCATGGGCTTGGTTCCAACCTGGTCACGGAGGTGCGAGTCTACAACTGGTTTGCCAACAGGAGGAAGGAAGAGGCCTTTAGACAAAAATTGGCTATGGATGCCTATAGTGGGCCAACGCACAATCTGAACTCCCTTCTTATACACAGTTCCCCGCATCACCCACAAACCAGCAGCTCCCCACCAAGTAAGATGCAAGGTACTGACACATTAATTGTAATCTCACGTATATTATTTGATATTTCTGTTAGCCTGTGAATAGGGTCTGAAAATACAATCACTGATCATTGGCCTTTTTGGCGGTATAGTCTGGCAATGATAATTAGCACAAACTTCATCATCATCATTCCAGCAGTTGAAGAAGAGATGACGTAGTTGATGAGAACAGAGGGAAAGCAGAGAGCAGGGCAGTGATCAATGAGACTGACAGAGTGAGCTGAGCAAATGGCATTGTTATTCCCAGCTTTGAAACACACACCAAGAACAATCTGCATTGTACCTGCAATCTCAGCTTTACTGAAGTCAGCAGGCAAGAATGAGACACAAAGAGCAGCCACCCTTGGACAGGACTCTGGGTCATCCTCGGGTCATGTGGCTCAACTCACACTCGAGGCCTAGTTATACCTGTAGATTCACTGCAGTTTACTGCAGGCCCCACTCCTCTGTTATCTAACAAATTGTATTCCTAGAAAGATTTATTGACTTAGTTTGATATGGCAAGACTTCGGCAGTAAAAGAAATGCACTCTTTGACTCAACCAGCTTATTACCTATTGTTGCTCTTTCATGTTTGAGCACCAAAGAGTCCGAGTGCTTTTGCCATGGGTGTGTTGCTTGTTTCTGGGCCTGTGGCACGGCAATGAGTGGCTTGTCTGTTTGCGTGTGGTGTTTCCCTCTGCACACCTGACCAGTCAGTGACCTCAGGTTGTGTGTTAATTTGGGTAGGAAGGGGGAGGAACTGGATGGGGTCGGTCTCCTCTTCATACTCTAGTTGAGGGACTTACAAGGTGTCCCAGCAGTGCCCTGCCAGCAGCATCAGCTGTTTTTTGGTGTCAGAAGCTGGCCTGACAAGAATGGCACAGCAGGACCCCTCATCACGTTGCCAGGGCATGGCCTGTATTATGCATGCTTAATTGACAATTAAAATCCTTGGCTACTACATCTCCCAGGCCTTTGATAAGGGACTCCCCTCTTCCCTGATCTCTTTACCCTCTCCCAGCAGGGAATCCTATTTTCTGTGGCATATTAGAAGACTGTAGTGACTGTAACCGAGGTTCATTTATCTGTGCTGGGCCAGGGGGAGGGACACCTCGAAGCTCCTCTCACCTTCATGGGCTGTATAGAGGCAGTGGCTGGGCTCTGAGCAGAACAGCAGGAGCTGTCCGCTGGGCTATTGGCTCTTTTTGGGCCAGACAGGACTGATGAGCCCCTTCTTCTCAAGGTATGGAGGGTACTGAGTGATTCCCGGTCTCAGCCCCCCTCTAGGAAACCCAGGTTTTGTTAAAAAGGTCGTTACTAGGTCAGATCAGAGAGAGACTACTTTTTTATTGATTCTGGTTTGGCCTATTGATAACAGACCGGCCATTTTGCCGCTGTTGGAAGGTCAACCGATATGTGCTTTGGGGGCTGACTGTGATCTTCCCTGTGTTTGTGTTGTGGTGCCGTTGGGAAAGCAAACTGCTTCCAGAATGCTCTTTGATCCTATTTAGGTAAAATACGTTGGAGTGGTTGTCATCAGCACTAAAACAGTAGCTATGAAATCTTTAAAACTGTCAGTAAAGAAACTTTCATTTGAGACCATCACCTCATGACCAAGGAAACCAGAAAATCTAGCCTTTAAGTAATAACTTAATAGCAAAGGACAAGCAGAGGACAGAAGAGTTCAACTGTCCTTGCTTGGTCTATTGAAAACCACAGAAAGGCTGAAAGGCTGCGTACGTCCTGCTAAGACCCAGGAGGCCTCTCATATGCAATAATGCTATAATGAGCACTGCCTGGGGATGAAGAGCAAGGCTTTGATATTACATGCGTCCCAGGGAGAGCTGAACCTTTTAAAACCTGTTGAAGTCTACTGCTACCACTCCCCTTTAGGATTTCCCACCATTCTCTGCCCTTTAACCAAGGTTAACCAAGGTAGCAAGTTTTACATTTATGCGTTGATCTACCTATACCAAAAGGCGATTACAAAGCGCATTGTTAAACGAAAGAAAACCGATTCATAAGAAGTGACGGACCAAAACATTGTTCAGGAGTGCATTTCCCAAAAACAACTATGGTTCCAAGTTCTGTTGTTACCAGAACTTGTGACCATAGTTTAGCTAATGATGCTTTTGGGAAATGCACCCCAGGGTGACTGATCAGTCAATATTTAGCTATTTTGAGAATATCGCATTAGCCGATAACCTTGTACATTGTCTAGACTCTAGATATTGCAATCAGCATTGGTCGCTGGTTGCTTTTCTGAATAGTGTAATTAAGACTTAGTTTATGATACCATTCCATGTAACTTTTATGTCGCATTCTCTGAGGTTGTATTTTGGTTCCTGGTTCCCTGAGAAACGGAGCCCTCCTGCTGGTCAGCATGGCCCAGACAGCACAGACCTAAATGACTGAGTGTGAGAGGAGATCCCTGCAGTCCAAGTGAATGCCTGATGGAGTCAGACAATAGCCTTCTCTCTTCCTGACACTTTTAGTGGGTGTGCGGTAGTAAAGTAAAGACTGTTTATGGTAGCTAGCCCATTGTGTGCTGAGCAGGTTGTAGGCCCAATGCAGTGCTTTATTGTCCTGCGCTGGTGTTTACAAGACACTGTAGAGAGCTGGCAATGCTGTAAGTGTGCAAAGGGGAGCAAAGTTGTGTCTGCAGAGTTCTCCTGCACAATGAAACAAAACAGAGGGATCAATCGATTTGTTCTAAGACCTTTCTGTTATTTTTGCTGTTCTGCTAGTCATTTAGCTCTTTGTTTGGTGCATCACTCAAGGAACACCCAGGGAAAGAGGCTACCACAAATAAAGTGTATTCCATTCTGCAGTGTCGTCATCTTGCTTGGCTGGTCACCCTGGTATTTGAATGTGGGAGTGAAGATCTTTTGGGCTGGAAAATGCATCTAACATTAGTATTAATTGAGTAATGTTTACCATGTTCATATCTGTGGCACTTACGGTCGGTAAATACTGTATCCATTTGACAGGAGATAGCCTGGATTCCTGTGTCCCTGAATGGTCAAGAGTACTTAAAGAAGATAAAACAGAGAATTAACTTTTGGTAGAGCATAATTCCCTCATAAAGCCTTATTTCATGTAGATCAGGGGTGTCCAGTCATGCTCCTGGAGGGCCACCACACTTTCTCCAACACACCTGCCTGGAAGTTTCTAGTAATCCAGAAGACCTTAATGTGCTGGTTCTATGCTGGAAGGTAGCCCTCCAAGAGAAGGTTTGGACCCTGACGTATATTATTCCTACAAAGCTCTGAAGGTCAGTGCGGCATAGTTTTTAGAGTTGCAGACAACCCACATGTACACATTTGGATGACCTTGACCATTCAAGGACCAGGTGCAGAGGCCCCAGTTTGTTTGCTCTACCCTAACTTGTCTGCGACTAACAGATACAGACTGGGGCAAATTTAAAAAGCAGTCAGGAGGCTAAATCTGACATTTTTCTCTCTTGCTTTCTCCTTCAACAGGTGTCCGGTACAGCCAACAAGGTCCTGGTGAAGTCAGTTCCTCCACAACGATCAATCACCATAGTAGCAATGCCATGGCAACCAGCCAATCAGTGTTACAGCAGGTCTCTCCGGGGTCACTGGACCCCAGCCACAGCCTCCTGTCACCTGACGCCAAGATGGTGAGCACTTCTGAGCCCAGATAAGATAACGCCATGTCTGGTCTTGACACAGAAACACAAAGTAGGGCCTGATAAATATTACCTTCACCCAAAGTGGGCTTACAAGCACTGCATTGTGCTTCCCAGTGCTAAACCGAGAAGCAGACGGTAGGCCTTGGCCCACAGTGCACCGCAAGGCCAAACTTAGCAAATGTTAGCCGGTGGTAGTGAGAAAGGGGCACGGCCATGGCTGTGCCAACAAACCTGACAAAGAAGCACTCTGTTTGTATTGATTAAATGCCCTACAGAGGAGGAGAAGGGTGGAGTTGTGCTTGTTCTCTTTCAATTGAGTGACACCGGTGCTCAGTTAAGTTGTTATCTGAATACTAATGTTTGAGTTGGGTGAGATGTTCATGTAGCTTTTGTTTCAGGACAATAATCTATGCATTAATTTTTCTGGAAAGGCTGCGGCGTTTCACTACAGGTCAAATTCATCATGGTTTAGGGTGTGTTACTGTCAACGGGAGGGCGGAAGTCCATGTAGGAGGAAGGGAGTATGGCAGCTGCTTATCTGAGCAGTCAGACGATTGTCTCAGCATGGCCTCCTCTCAACTCGGCTTATTCAAATAAAGCTCTATGTCTCTGTCAGGGCTCTGATACCTCCTTAAGATAAGAGTACAGTTGAAACAGTTGTGACAGAAGCATTCTAGTCATTCTATTGAACTATTGGTGCATTTTCTTCACAGATCTCAGTATCTTGCGGAGGTCTTCCTCCAGTCAGCACCCTGACCAACATCCATGCATCCCACCACGTGCCCCAACAGACCCCTAACTTCATAATGCCCCTTTCTGGAGTCATGGCCATTGCACAAAGTGAGTGTCCGACCACCCTGCTTTCCATTTCAGATTCTTCATGCATTCTCCACTTGACACCTCATTGTTCTCGCATCCAGGTTTAAACACGTCGCATGCACAGACGTTACCTGTCATCAACAGCGTTGCAGGCAGTCTGGCAGCATTGCAACCGGTGCAGTTCTCGCATCAGTTGAATGGCCCACACCAGCAGCTCATGCAACAGTCACACAGCCACATGAGCCAGCAGCCCTTCATGGCCTCTGTCTCACACTCCCAAAGTCAGTCCACTTCCTCTGTCCAGAATCTACTGATCTAGTCAAGATCAAATCATTTTCAAGACTTTCAAATGACTGTTGATGTGACCGTCTTTGTATCTTTACAGTGTACCCACACAAGCAGGAGCTGCCCCAGTATTCTCACTCGTCTCGGTTTCCCCCTGCCATGGTGGTGACAGACGCCAACAGCCTCAGTACGCTGAGCTCAATGTCCTCCAGCAAACAGGTCAGTCATCCACAACATTTACCAACATGCATTAACGTCCCTTGGATCTGTATTAACAGAGCTGATTGGTTTATTCAGTGAGTGCTCAGGTCTATCTGCGTGTCCTACAAATGGAAAGTGAGGCTTCTGCAAACTTCTTATTGGGAAATAAAGCCACGTGGGATGGAATTGTAAACTGTAATCACTTTTAGCTTCATTAAGGCTCCAAAGATATTAATCACATGATCCACAAACCTTTTAAGCCATTTTCTATTCATCTATTTCATTTTCTGCTTGTCTGCTGTATTTTTGATCGTCACTGGGGCAAAGTAACAGTGGTGAATACAAAAATACTCATAAAAAAATTATACCAAACATTTTTTATCATTGGATTTGTTTCATACCAGGTCCCAGAAAACATTTGTACAGATCTCAAGTTAGCATAGACTCTACTAAATCTAACATTTGCACACATTTATATTTAATTCACAATCCATCTCAATATACTGGTAAGAGTACATGGATTGCACATTTTTATATTTACGAAATAAGGCAAAATTATATTCTGATGTTCAAGATGTGCCACAGATGCTCTCAGTAAAGTTTAATGTATGTTTGATGTAACTCAAAATATTGCTTTTTAAGCAATGGTCAGTCACCAGAATAAACAACATTTAATCACTAGCATTTCTGTGATCAGTGTAAGATTTCCAGAGAGGGCTGAATATGACTGATATTGAGTTTTTCAGTCAACGTGGTTTTAATCTGTGCACAAACCTAATCTGCTTCACTGTCTTTTGTTTATCTGGGTTTGTTGTACATCTCAATCAGTGAAGTGAGCCAACGTGTGGATACTCCTCAGAATTCCTATTTCCTTTGAACAGCTTGACCAATCAGTCACCCGTGAGCCCAGTCGGCGTGCACATGGCATGATTGATCAAACCGCCTTTCGCTCTTTCTTTCTTTCTTTCTTTCTTTGTTTCTTTCAATAAAATTGATAATTTATTTTTTATATTTTATATTTATTCATTTATTTTTTTTTTTCACTTTCTAAATCTCGTTTTTTCTTGCTTTCCTCACTCGCAATGTAACGTCACACTTGAGTCCAGTTTAGCAGTGCGGTCAGGAAATGATCTTCACTGTTAATCAAAGCCATCTTGCTCCTTCTGCTCCCCTGCCATGGACGGGAGTGTATGCAGTAATTAGACCTCTTCCCTTTTCCCCTGCACTCTGACCGCTCTAGCCTGAAATGCGGTTGCAGTCACTGCTTTCACATGCCCAATTTCCCATGCTGCCACATCACTGGCAGCACCGTTGCTGACGGCTTGAACTTCCTATCAGCATGTGCTCCACTTATCAAGATCTTGTCTCTAATTCTGGATAATTTGCAAATATCCTAAATATTTCTCCTGTGTGAGGTAAATGGAAACACTTTTTAGTTTGGTTGAAAGCATTTAGATATCTCAGGTATGTGGTTCCTCAACCCCCCAGTACTGAGAGAGCAATTTCAAACTCTTATCAGCTTGCTGTATTTGGACTGGGTGGTGCACTGGGTGCTCAGGGGGACATTACAAACCATGCTCGGCCTTTATAACCCTCCTGTTTGCTGAGCTTTCCCACCCAGCCCAACAACAAAAACTCACCTCCATTTGGAGACCTGCATCTAATGAGTGTAGTCTGAGCAGCTGGCCGGCACCTTTATCAGGTGAGGCTGTTTGTCGGCCAGCAGGTCACGACAGGGTCACCTGCCTCTCCCTCTCCAAAGAAAGAGTAAAAACACCCAAACAATATAAAAACTTTAGTTACAATGGGAAAGAACGCACACGGATGAGGTGTATATTTGGTCAGGTGTGGCTGATAAGGAAATTCCGCACTTATACAGAATGCTTATGTGACTGTTTCCTCTTTCTCTCTTTATTTTGCAGTGTCCGCTGCAAGCCTGGTGAGCATGTACACCTGACTTCCTCAATGCCTAGCAACAGGAGCACATCGTCCCCACCTCCATTCCCCCTCATCGCGCCTGTAACTGTGGCAACCCATAATAATAAGTGCGAGCGGCACACTGGATGATGAGTTAGTCAATAAACCAAGGGATGCAGGACTGACGAAAACGGACACTGTTAGGTTGTTCGATCGACAAGGGTACACACTTTAGTGACAGTATTTGACTTCTCAGTCATGGACAAACCATATTGAGGAACATGGGTGATCCTGAAGAACAAACAAATAGGAAACACAAGACAAAGCTACAGATACAAAGACCAGAAAGGAATGGAGAGACCTGATTTCCTGGACTAAGAGCACAGTATGTGTCCATATGTGCTTGGTGAAGACAGTGTAATTGAACTGTGCATGGGCACAATGACAATCAGCCAATGTTAGAAGCATCTAAAGGAGTTTATGTAATGTGTAACTGATGCAAAGACGTCTTCCGTGAGATCTGAATGCTTAGACAATGTTCTGTACAGTTGAATGTAAATACAAGCAATTATTATATCATTAGTATGAAGGATGTAAATATTCGATTGTCCATGTGGTGTGCTGTTTTATCTGTCTAAACACGTAAACTGTGATTCAGGATGTGACAATCTATGGAGCAGGTATGACGTATTGGAATATGCAACGTGTCGTGATTTCAGACTCTTTTTGACTACTTTGTTGACATCAAATCTTAAAAGTGAGATAAATGTTAAAGCACATTTGACAAAACCTGAACCTATTGATCTCCCTGCAAGCCTGGTTTTAAAATAGACGCTAATGTCAATGTTGACTATTAGCATTAGTGTCGTCAGATAGATAAGATTCATCTTTCTTTGCCAGGACTTCCACAGTATGACAGACGTCCGTCTAAGAAATACTGGCTTAAGATGGTCGATCAGAGAGACAGATAACTGCATCCGCATAGCCGGTCATCTTTGCGATATCGACGGGAACGGCCATGAATCATGATGTGCTTTTCCACACTAAATATTGACTTAAATCAAACTGTCATTGTCATGGTGGAGAGATACGGTCGAAATGGACGACAGACTGGTTATCAGGAGGAATTTCATAAAAGTTGGGAAATTTTGTCCATTCGCCATTTTAAACAGTATTACCTGCTCACGCCACTCTGAACTGCCAGGAAACATTGCGAAGTAGCTTTTATTGTGGCTCTTAACTTAGTTTTTTTACACATTTGCTGGCATGTATGTCCACAATTTCAAAACTGACATTGTCATTTTGGTAAACTGAAGAAACTAGTGCACTCGTCCCCATCTAAGAGTTTGAATACTTGTCAAAAGGTCATTTCAATGTTTGTTTTTAATGTTGTTGACTATGTTCCCACTGCCGGTTGACCTGAGGTTACAGTGCTGGTTTATTCTCCTGTTTTATACTGGATTTATACTAAATGTGATTCTTTCCACATTGTATTATTTTTGTATAAAATGAAAGCAATCTTTGAAAATCATTATTTATGCTTTACGAAAAAAGTTTCAAGTAAAGTTTTTTTTTTCTCAAGATTGGTAACAGTGGTTTTGTCTCTGATTTGAAATGTGAAATTAGATCATATTCTGTATTTCTTCTAAACTTCCCCATACTAGATATTATACTAGTGTTTGCCAAGCTGTTATGCAATTTCACTGTCTCTTGCATAGTTTTTCTTTTCAACATGATGATTTTTATGACATGGGTTGGAATGTGTTTCCATTCAGCAAGAACCCATTACCAAGCTCTTCTTCCTGCAACAATATGTCTTGTTAAATCATGTAAACCTTTTGGTGAAGAGCTTGTGTGGTGATCTCAAACTTAAAGGGATCATTCACGCAAAAATGAAAATTCTGTCATCATTTACTCGCCTTCCACTTGTTCCAAACCTGTATGAGTTTCTTCTGCTGAACACAAAGGAAGATATTTTGAAGAATGTTGGTATCCAAACAGTTGATGGTAGCCATTGTTTTCCATTGTATTTTTTATTTTTTTTAGTTGGCTACCACCAACTGTTTGGTTACCAACATTCTTCAAAATATCTTCTTTGGTTTCAGCAAAAGAAGGTAAGTCATACAGGTTTGGAACAATGTGAGTGTGAGTAATTGATGACAGAATTTTCATTTTTGGGTGAACTATCACTTTAATAGTACATTTTAAGAATTAAAAGGCACAATATTTGGACACTTTTATGTCCAGGTGCTTTTCATTAGAATTTGGATCATGTCAGGATTGAGTCTGGGAAAAATGCTGGATATTTCAAATATGTTGTGTTGTATTTGTTCAGCAGCATGAGTGAGGTTCAAATGCATGTCTGGAAGAAAACCTCCCTGTTGCTTTTTGTTTTCCTCCTACAGGTCTGAAACAACAGTTTTTAAAATTCCCCACTTAGGCTATTACTAAACTTGGAGGATGAGCCGCATGCTGTTGGTGGGAATGAAACTCGTGCCAATGCCACACGGTGAGAGTGACCACATTGTTGCTGTAAAGGTGGAAGAGTATGCTGGGAAAACATGGCTCCCTCAAGACAATATATGATGCTGTAATTAGGTGGCTTTACCTCATTCTGCTCAAACAAAATGCACAATATTTACTTATTATACAGTCTACTAAGGCCTTTTTTAATAAAACAAGTGCTCTGTTTTTATTTAATTAACTCCTCATTCACAATTACACATTTTGTCTGTGTATGTCGAGACTAACAAATTTAATTTCCATCACTAGAATCATCTGCATTTTGTTCTTTGGTGGAAAAGATGGTGGTGAAAATGTCAAACTTCTGAAATAAGTTGACTCTTTTGTCTCGCTAAAGGTAGTTTCAGAGCTAGCATTTAGCATTTTTTAAGATACAAATAATATTTTCACACTTGTGAATACATACAGCTTGACTGGAAATGAAAAATTCTGTTCATGAATAATATTTTCAGATGTTTGTTCTCTTCAAACTTCTTTACTTACACAGTGTCTCCTTGGTAATGAAGTCTACCTTTGAAATTTTGACGACGAATGTGGGACAGTCGTATATTTGTTTTAAAATTGATATAAATCAGTTACATAATACGTATTAAAATGGTTTAAGTTTAATTTATTTATTTTTTAAATATGAAAAGGCTGAAAAATTTTGTATTTGATTTTTCATATTTGTGACCCTGGACCACAAAACCAGTCTTAAGTCGCTAGGGTATGTTTGTAGCAATAGCCAAAAATCATGAGGGTGAAACAATTAAATCTATGCATATAAGGCAAAATGTAACTAAAATAAATTAATAAAATAAAATAAATATATTCTGTAAATAAATTGAGTCTGTTAGATGTAACAATCAGCCAATAGCACATAACAATAATTGAAGAGACACCCAGAAGCATATTTTGTGTAATTCTGTTATCTCGATGCCAGTGACATGCGGATTGCAGCTCAAGATGTAGCCATGTTACACTTATTGTGACTTGAAAACTTTGTTCTGTGTTTTTTTATCTTCATTTGAATGTGCCTTAAAGACACTCATAGAGTTATGAAAGAAAGCGTCCTGCTGGGTATACACTTGTAACCCAATGATGTTGCCCTGTTTGGTTATCAATGAGGCCTTTGATTTTGCTCCCAGGGAGCCACTAAAAATCTTACTGCTGCTCTCTTTTACTGCGCTACCCTGAAAAGAGCAGAGGAGCAGTGAGAGAGAGAGAGAGAGAGAGAGAGAGAGAGAGCAATGCTTATTAGCATTCTGAGGAGGTGCTGAGTTAACAATGGAACAACAAAAATACAGCAACAACAATGATTATAACTATTGTTTTAGTTCAATTCAAGGACAGCTTTGTAAATGTTAGCCTTTAATTCTTGTATTTTAACAAGACTAATGGCATAAACAATAAAGTGGTAATATTGGCGAAATTACTTATGATTAATGATGTTGTAAGTGATGCATTTCGTGGTACTGAAACATTTACTGTCTTTAATATTACCAATATTCTGCTGTTAATTATTTTATATATTTTATAATTAATTTGATAATTTTTTATTTAATTCAGTGTATGGTGATGAGATGTGTCAGGATGTCAGCCGACTGTGTGTCTTCTGTATATATATATATATATATATATATATATATATACACATACATATATTGCCCTATTTTATATGCAATTTTGAGATTTTGGGAAAATATCTCTTTTTTTTCTGTCAAGAAAAAAGCTGTTTTTCAGCTTTAACATGCCAATGAGCACCATTTGATATTCCCACATTCTTCTTGTAAGATATTGTATGATTCAACAGACACAGTAGGGAAGGACTGGATCTGTGCTTCCGGACAAGACTCAGAGGTCAACATGAGAGCAAGACGGACACACAGAGAACAGAGAGAAGGGACAAAGGGACAGAAAATGGAAGTTACAAACTGAATGTAGCTGTGTGTTTAGTGGTCAGAAGAGAATGGGCACTACATCAACTCCAGCTGGGCCTCAAAGGGTTTTAATGGGCAGGAGAACCCAGCAGGGGTCAGAGGTCAGGAGGCCAATCTCTGCCAGGGCTAATTGGTAACACTGTTTCAAACTGAGATCAAAATTAGCCTTTGAAGTTCTGAACAGTTTATAATTTGTTTCAAAACAAGACATATGTTTATATGTATATATGTTTTATATACATATATTTTGTCGTATTTTTTATATGTAAATGTATATGATTTCTTTCAAAATGTAATATATATTTATATAATATATATATTGATATATAAACTAAAAAAGTGTGTAAATTTATATTTAAATTTAATTTAATTAAATCAAACAAATGAAATATTTATATTTAAATTATACACACACAGACACACACACTCACACATGGATGTAGATGGATGGATAGACAGACAGACAGATAGACAGATAGATAGATAGGTAGATAGATGATAGATAGATAGATAGATAGATAGATAGATAGACAATAATTACAAATAATAATTAGGTTTTACAATATTGTTAGTCATAAATATTAATCTCAGATTGCACTGTCAAATAAGAAAGTAGAAATAGTAAATTCACACAGTTCATCAATATCCAAAATATACAGTCAGTGAAACAAACCATAAACTGCTTATTGGCTTGACAGGTTGACAGCAGCTGGAAGACTTGAAGCAAAGGTGGCAGAGAGGAATAAAAAAGTCATTATTAATCACTCATTGTTCCACGTCTATTAAGGGGAAGCACAGTGCATTCAAATGAAATCATTACAGCTGACAAACTGTATGTAAACAGACATTTTCATGACCCCACAAACTGTGTGAAGGAATTTATCATTCCTGCCTTTGTGATGCTTTGGTAGTTTATTGATCGATTCTCTACACAGACCCACATAGTGGATTTTGGAATGAGAATGGATCCATTGGGGCTTTGTGTCTAAATGGGAGCGAATACATTCGGCCTTTCAGCTCAGAGACGGATCATACTGTAAAAGGCAGTCCTGACAGATAGCAGTGGCTGCGCTGATGCTGGTGTGGGATCTGGTGATTTATGGTGATTGGTGGGATGCTGTGAGTCAGTTGTGGGTTAATGTTCACCTGGGTCACAGAGCCACTGCTGGAACCTGCCTGCATTCACATCAGGCCCTCTGATGAGACTGGCCTCAAGCTAAACCCACTGCTCTCAGTGGGGAAACTGCGTCCTTCATAGCTCCTCAATGGATCCTAATGGTTATGTAAGGTGGCTATTCAGAAGGCTGAATGGGCTTGGGTAGAAGAGAAATATCAATCTTGTCCAATGCATTAACACAGCCAAACTCAGTACACCTCCCCTTTCCATGCGACTATTATTCAAAATAAATAAATAAATAAATTATGAACTGTTCTACTACATATCATAGAGTAAATATTGTGTTAGTTATTAACAATTTGTTTCATTTTAATTTTAGTTTATTTCATAGTCAACTTATTTTGACAAAAAGCAATTGTATATTCCAGTAGTTTCATGTAAATATAGAAAAACAATGAATAATGTGAACAAACTAATGTGAGGCAGAATGGAAAGACGGTGTCCCAGGGCTTTAAAAAACAACAAAAAAAACTTCCTTAAACTTTTTATATTCAAGTAACAACATAGTTTGAATCTTTTCTACATTATGACAGGAAAATGACGTACGTACATACATATACAGTACCAACCACTAGATGATAGATAGATAGATAGATAGATAGATAGATAGACAGACAATAATTACAAATAATAATTAGGTTTTACAATATTGTTAGTCATAAATATTGATCTATCTATCTATCTATCTATCTATCTATCTATCTATCTATACAATAAATCATGCAAAATATGTGTTTATCAAATTTGGTACAAAACTAGCTTGCCCCCACAGAGTGACAGTTTTTATTATATGTCTTTTTAAATAATATATACATATATTCCTGTTTAATATTGGTCTTTATTTAAAATGTATTGAAAACACCGAGATCAAACCAGTGTTATGTTACTATTAAAACTGATACCATAAAAAAATTCTGTTGCTTGAAATAAACAATACTTGAAATCAAAGACAATGTAATAGC